TCTGCCAAGCTCGCTCACTTCATCGCCCTGCCTCATATCATCGCCGACTGATCCACCTCATCCAAGCGCGTTGCCGTGGTGTTCCTCCTTTCTAAAACTAGGTCAGTCTTTCCGCTCCTGGTCTGTGCATATCTTTTGCGCGGCCCCATCCTTGCGCGCTACTTCCCTGAGCAGCGTATATCAAAATTCGCAGGCAGAAGCTCGAGAGCTAGAAAGTTAACCTGTAACAGTCCCAACCCCATATAGCAAATCTCCCCCTGCTACCTTGCACAATTTGACACCATGGTGGACGCAAAGATTCAGTATGTATTACTGCTAGAACATTCACCGCTATATGAGCTAACCTTGCGCAGAGAGCTTCTATCCAAGCCGCGTTCGGAGTTGACGTACGTACACCCTCCAATCCACAAAAATTCCTGTACTGACATTGCTGCCTAGCGAGTACGAAGTTGCTCAGGTCGAAGAACATGAGCTCACCACCGGCCCCCTCTCCATCCTCCAGACCGCCGTCCGCTCGCGCACACAAGTCCTGATCTCGTGCCGAAACAACCGCAAGATTCTCGCACGTGTCAAGGCTTTCGACCGTCATTGCAACATGGTTCTCGAGAACGCGAAAGAGATGTGGACTGAGACTCCACGGTTAGCCAACGGTAGCTACGGAAGGAAGGTCAACAAGGACCGCTTCATCTCCAAGCTGTGCGTTCAAATTACACTCTACATTTGCGCATGCGCTGACTTTTATAGGTTCCTACGCGGCGACTCGGTCATTCTTGTATTGCTATCATAAGAGCTTGGAAGCACTGGGGATTTGGGACGCTAGCGCCAGATCGAGCGCACGAAATGGAGTTGGAATGAATTAAAAGTTACATAACCGTCGCGAAATCGGCGAGGAACACCGAACGAATCAAACAACGATACCCCAACTTCTACTTCTTCAACCCGTCACTCAGGCCCAGTAGGAGCTCCGCGAGGCCATGCGCGCCAGGGTCTGGAACCTCTTGGAAACCCTCGCCTCCAACGTAGACCGTTCGCCCCAAGCTCGCTTTCATACCCTTCGTCCCTTGCGCGCCACCTTGTGCCGCCGCAGCCGCTTTGTCGATACTTTCCGTCTTAGACAGCGTCTCAACGAACGGATAGAGGGCATCCATCAGCGTTCGGTCACCGGGTTTGGCAGGAGTGTATTTGCCCAGTGCCTTGAGCGATGAGTCAAGGGCCTTGGCCCAGATTGCGGGTGTGACAGGCTGTGGCGACGAAGGCGCGTTTTGTCGCAATCCATGCGCCAGCGCATTCAAGAAGATGGCGTAGATTGCACCTGACGTGCCGTCCATAGCCAGTTCCACCACTTGAATGATGTGATTCATGAGGATCAGCAGATCATCTGTCTCCTTTGCCGTTTCGAGCATCTTGAGAATTGCTGTTGGGTGTCAGCGCCAGGCATCAATGCACACGTGATGATAGCCTACCTTCTGCGCCGCGCTTGAGTCCGATTCCGCAATCGCCATCTCCGACTATTGTGTCATATCGGGTGACGTCTGGCTCAGCCTTGATGAGTCTGTTCAGCGCAACTGTCAAGGTTGACTTGGCCTGGGCATAGTTGACTACTCAAGTTAGTGGGCGTCATACGCAGCTCTGCAGGTACTTACATCTCAGATCACTTGGCTGAATCTCCTCTTCATCCACCTGCTCCTCGTTCTTCTTCGCTTCTCCCCGTCTCGCCCATGTGCTGCTACTAATCGCCGCAGACCAGCCACTTGCCTCGGCAGGCGCATCAAGCAGCTCGAGCATTGAAGCGTCGGCGACTCTAAGCAAGCTAATGGAGAAGCCCAATCCATTCAAACTGGTCATGAAGGTGCCAGCTAAAATACGCACTGGCTTGATCTTGAAGCTGTCCGCCAATTGCTCGACGACTTCGTTCGTGATTCCGCTTAGCTCGAGTGGACTGACACCTCCCAGGTTGTTGACCAGTAGTACCACATCGTCCTTGTCGGTGATCTTGGAGAAGCTTCGGTCCTGGTCCGCTACGTCCAGGCAATGTGACAACATTGTCTTTACAAGACCAGGTAGATCGATCTTCTTGCGCTCTGAACCGGCTTCATTATGGATGCCCATTCCAATCTCGACTAGGCCTTCAGCCAGCTCGTCTTCCTCTGCCTCTCGGCGACCTGGCACGTGGACGTGAGCCAGTGAAGAGCCGATCGAGACGGTGTTGTCTGCGACGAGCTGGGCCATCTGCGTTACATCTTTGAGATTCGCTCTACAATGATGTCAGCTTCCTTATAGGCATGATGTTGGTGCGGTGCATACCCCTTAGCAGCAAGCGCACCGGCAATCTTCTGGACGAGCACTGTTCCCGCAATACCTCTGCGTCCGACCTTACCTCCTTTCGCACGCCCTACACCCGCATCGTCGCCGACTACAACCATGTCGACTTCAATACCAGCAGCGCGCGCTTTCTCCACCGCCATGCCGAAGTTCAGCACATCGCCAGTGTAGTTCATTACAATCACGAGGACGCCCTTGTCTTTTTGAATGCGATGCAAGATACATCTTCGCACCTGCTCTGCACTTGGCGAAGCGAAGATGGTACCTGCGACTGCTCCGGATAAAAGGCCCGCGCCGACAAAGGATGCGAATGAGGGTTCGTGACCACTACCACCTCCGGAAACTATGCTGACTTGCGATGCGCCATTCTTGCGGTAGACGATCTTGTTGTTGATGTCGCATTGCACGGACGGGTTCGTCTGAGGGATGCTGAGTAGCGCGGTGTTGACGAGGTGTGTCGGGTCGTGGACGAAGTGTCTCGCTGAGTACGTTAACTATCTGATCGCATAGGTTCTGATGGGAATGCATACATGACATTGTGATTACTATATGTCCAGCTCAATGGAGTGCGCGAATTGGTGCAGAACGACGGAACACAGAGCGGATGGAAATCACAAAAGTGGCATGACGAAAGACCAAGAAACCTTCAATACCCGACCCGACGACAAGCAATCATTCCACCATTCCTTCGTGTCATTTGACATATGCCGACATAGCCTGTGGCCACACGGAAACGCGTCCGCGTTCCGTCTTGTTTCCAGGCATTTGGAGAGCTCCAGTGCTCTAAGTGGGGTTGCGCAGATGCGTGAGGGGTAGCTTCGCGTTACTGTGGGGTCGCTCCTTCCCCCGAACCCCGAATGTCAGCAAGCATAGGTGCCGGCTTCCTCTTCTGGGTGATCCCGTACCAAGTTTCGGTCTTCCGACCACTCCTACACCAAGCATTGAAAACTACGACGAGCCTCATGCGGAACAGGTCCGGGAGACTGGAGTTCTTGTATATGACTATGCTTGCTTTTTCGATCTCGGCATTCGACAATCGGACCTCACCTACGCGCCCAGAGCCCATTACCCCCAACAATACGACTTTGGGCATGAATGACCGATTGCCGCCGTGATGATCATCAACTGGGCACGAAGCCCCTGCGTTTGTGGAGGAGATGGCGAGACGCGCTCATTCCTACCATTAGGCCGCTATTGCAGTTATGGAGCGGTACCCAGAGTGTGAGTTGATGGCACACACCCGTGATTGTCTGAGCCTTCGACTGGCTATGGTACCTTCGCTACCACGAAGTTTGTGCGGAGCCACATGGACTCGCACACATCTGGGAGAATCTCAATATCTCATGTAGCTTCACACTTACATTCACTACTCGCCTGCCTCAACAATCATGTCTCAGCTGGAAACCTCCGTTTCGTGCGCTGAGAAACGTTACAAAATCAATGCAAAGAGAAGTCCACTATACGCCCTTCCCTACGAGGTCCTAGCCCATATCCGGGGGTACTTGGATCACGCCGAGAAGACTTGCTTTGCGCTGTCAGGCGCCAAGTTCTTCCAAAGTTTCCCATCCATCACTGTTCCAGAAGAGAAAGTCGGCGATACCAAGATCGACGTCTATCTTCGGCTTCTGAGAGACGACTTCTACAGAGAAGCCCACAAACGACCGGGGATCTGGTGCGTTTATTGTGCAGATGTACACAAGGATACGCACTTCATCGAGAGCATGCTCTGTCGCCCACGGCAGGAACGCAAATGTTCCTCTACACTCAGACTGTGCCCACACAGGTCTTACTCTCTGGACTACTTGAGAGATAAGGTAGAAAGAGCTGTATCTCTTAGGGGTAGGCAGGCCATGTACTTTAGTCTCCGGTGCTATACTTGCGAAACAGAGTTGAAAAAAAGCCAGATATACTTCACCAATTGTTTCGTCACATACGATCAGACGTCTGGAGACTATGTCATGAGAAGTGACATAACCATAGGCTTTTCGAAAGCAAAAGGCTCGGGTTTACATACAGAAGCGCGTAGAGTCCTACAAAATCTCGATTTCACAGCGTGTCTTCACAGACAAATTTCTGAGGAAAGCACCATAAACCGGTTTGTCGATGCCGAGATCGGGGCCGTCAAAGCAGAAAAGCAGGACCAAACCCATCGCGTACATTGCGAGCACTGTAAAACGATGGTACGAACCAGATACGTCAAATCCTTGTGTTTTTCGCCTCACAAGCCAGGAGCAGCAGTAGCGGAAACCGGACTGAAGATAGATATTATACGTAACTTGGGCAAATTGTCAAACGAAGATGATTCGACATGGAGAGCGCATCTTCGAAAGCGGCAATTGAAAGTCACAAAGAATTAAGGCGACCTGGGTTCGGCTCGATCTGGGTTGGATACCACGATGAGAGAGTGGGAGAGCAAGAGCTATGTGCATGGCCGCCAAGATGGAGAGCGGTCGGGCCTCGCGGAGTATATTCGGCATGAACGCTTCGAAGCTACCCCACCATCTGATAAGATTCTGATCTGCACCCCCACTAACCTGTCGCGTCGAGCTCCAGCCATCGCGTCCTCAGGCAATTCGTCTCATCTGCAGGTTTCCGCCACGCATTGCTCAACTTTGGAATACTGATTCCAAGATCCCATAATCCACGTTCATCTACCATAAAAGAACATCCACGCGAAGATGGCGCACCCAGGCACCGCCCATAAATACACCAAAGGCCTCATCGCGTTCGAGCACGCCTCCCCTCCCTCCTCAACCTCCCCACAACCACACATAATCCTCTGGATAGGTGGCCTAACAGACGGTCTCCTCACGGTTCCCTACCCCTCGCTCATCGCGTCCTCCCTTCCGTTGACATGGTCCCTCGCCGAAGTCCTCCTCACATCCTCTTACAGCGGCTGGGGCACCGGCAGCCTCGCGCGCGACGCGACTGAACTCGGGGAATGCGTGGCACATTTCAAGAAGCTGAGACCGGGCAAGAAGATTGTGCTTATGGGACATTCGACAGGGTGTCAAGACATCATGGAATATTTGCTGGGGAAAGGAAATGAGGCGAGGGAGAAAGTGGATGGCATAATACTGCAGGGTGGTGTTAGTGATAGGGAGGCATGGGAAGATTACTACAAAGAGGGAGAGAGAAGAAAGCAGCTTGACGATGCGATTGCGATGGCTAGAGAATTGGTGGACAAGGGGAAGGGAGAGGAAGTCTTGTCACCGGAGAGTAATCCTGTGATCAAGGACATGGGCGGCCCTCTCAATGCATATCGCGCATACTCCCTACTTGCAAAGGGTGGTGACGATGATTACTTTTCGAGCGACCTTTCCGACCAACACTTCAGGAACACGTTTGGCAGGATACCAGACACCACAACGGTAATGTTTTTACTAGGGGCTGAGGACCCGTATGTGCCCGCAAGTATCGATCGGGCGGCTCTACTTGAGCGCTGGACAAGGATAATACGGGAAGGAGGTGGAGTAGTAAATAGTATAACTGGTGGTGTGGTACCGGGTGCTCATCATAACCTTGATGGGGATCCAGAGGAGGTTGTGCAGGATCTGGTAGGAAGGGTTGTTGGGTTTGTTTTTGCGTTGGGTCTGGAGATGACGTGGAATATTTAGTGGTGTTGGATCTTTGGCTGGGATAGGGTCTCTGCAGTCGAAAAAGGACTAGGAGCAGCGGTTTTGTACAATTGAATGACAATGTAGACCTCTGTGCTTCGAATTTTTTTTTTGGAAAAAAACACATGAGAAACGCTATTCTTCAAAGTAATGTATTACCGTGGCATGCTAACCATGCACACCACTGCCTCTCAGCAACTTGCTACTCAACAATATCTAGCTTTTGGTATCCCCATTCCAACCCAATCCAACCCATAATGCCGTTAATTCATCCTATCCCCAACCCCGAATACAAGCAAAAGAGCATCCAAAGCCCTCCCGCATATCAATACCTCAAACGCCCACGCAATGCAAAAACAACCCATTCCATCTCCGCCACACTCAGTCAAACCCACTTCTCCACTGTTTCCCCATAAGTTTCTTGGTCTGCTGCGCAAAATAATGCTTTCGTCTCCGCTCTCGCTCTGCTGGGCTCCGCTCTGCTTCTTCTGTTTCTTCAGCTGGTAATACCTCGGTATCCTAAGCCCCCGGTATACCACCAGGCTCTTCAAAAACAGCCTGCACAACCCATTGTTCGCCGAACTTGATACCCTTCCCGCCACTGATACCAGCGTTGCGCCAAGGACGATTAACGCCAATATCCACAATCCAGATGAGCCACTGAGGATCGCGTCCAGAGCCATTTTGAAGGGCTTTGACGAGGCCTGTGCGTGGCGCACCAAGACAGACAATATACTTTGCGCGAACTTCGAGGGGCTCGCCTTCCAAGATGGAGACTTCGCCTGTGGAACCGCCGACGCCCGAGGGTGTTTCGACAGCAAGGCAGGCGGCGCGCGATTTGTTGGCCCATCCGACGATATTGAGAACTACGCGTTGGTCTTGGTCGCCAAGAGCTTCGAATTCTTTGTGGCGGCCGAGCAGAGCATCAATTATAAGTTCCGGTGGTGCTTGAAGACGCTTTAGAGCTTCTTCAGTCGCGTTCCAGGAGCGGACGGTGCCGCCGAATTTGCAGAAGAGCTCGACTTGGCGGCGTATGTCCTTGTCCCAGTCTGCGTTGCGTTCGAAGCCGAGGAGGGCGACCATAACTTTTGGCCCGCGTTGGGCGAGGTGCCGTGCTGCTGCTACTGCGCGTGCGCCTCCACGGTGGTTACCCGCGAGGACTACAATAACGGGGTTGGCGTTTGGATTGGCGCGCGAAAGACGCATGCCTCCGGGATTTATAGCGGTCAGAGCAACTTCTGCAATACCTCGTCCTGAGTTCTCTGCCATGATGTCTTCGTTGAGGCCAAAGTCTACCTCGGCAGTTTCTTCAACTGCGAGCATAGCGCCGGGAGTAATAGCGAAACACTTGCGGTTGTTAGACACCAGTCGTAAGCAGCCCTTAGCGCTAGACTCGAGAGGTGACTCTGGTGGTGAAGCAACCCGCCCTGGCCTAGGGCTACCGGTAGCGTGTGAGGAAGTGTAGGGTCGGTTGATGAACGAACGGTTAGTGCGCGGCAACACGCCTGAGCCCATCATATCCATGTCAGCTTGCACGCTGCCTTGCCGTGTCGGTGCCATCTTGACTGAAGCCCTGGACATTGCCCGTCTAGAGTTACGTCCGCTGCCAAAGTCCTCCTCTTCCTCCTCAGAGCTTGTGTTGGTCGTACTTTTCAGTTTCCGATCCAACACGTTTTCCGTAGGATGAAGGTTCTTTCCGCCGTGTGTACCAGGTCTTGCTAAGCGATTGAAGCTGACCAGGCGGTCCTCGTCTGCAGTGGTGTCCTCATTCCTGATCTGATTGAACACGGTACGCTTGTCAAACTTAGAGAGGTTACTCTGGAAGTCGAACTCAGGCATGTCCTGGATATCGGTCGCATCTTCCGTAGCCCAGCCGTTCGTAGCTTCGAGCGCCTGTTGCCGTTTCGTTTTGCGATTCGACGCGTTCGCCGCTGCGAGACCGACTCTGCCGCCGATGACGCCAGGAGTTCTCGTTTGGGGCTGTTCGGCGGCTTGTAGCATGGGAGTGTTTCTCCAACCATTGCCTTTGCTAGTATATGTTAGCTCCCGGATATGCGACAAAGGACAATGGAATCCAGAATCTCACATACCCTTTCTTGACCGCCTCAACGTCACCGTTCTTCCTCTCTTGAGCGGCAAGTTCCTTCTTACGAGACTTGCCCCCTCTTCGAGTCTTCTTGCCATTGTCGTCGTTCTTCTGCGGGCTGGGGTCATCCATGGGCTTGCCGGTCCTCGTCTTGGTGATGCTTGCCCTTCGCGCATTCACCTGTGCTGTCCGCGCCTCACTGTCCGCCTCCTCAGCATCCGCAATATCCAGCGACGAAAACGGACCTTCCAGAGTCGCCGCACTCGGCTTTCGGACGTTGTGTTGCTTCGCATGGCTTGCGAAAGAGGATGTGTTCTTCGGTACAGTCGCCGCGCTCGTAGCAGCCACAGGCTTTATAGGCGTCGCAGGAGCTTCCTGAGGGGTTGCGGAAACGGGACCACCCAAGATAGGGGCGGTAGAAGTGCGCTTTCCCATGCTGAGAATCGCAGGATCGACAAACGGCGCGGCCTGAGCTGGCTGAGGAGCGGTCTGGCGAGGCGCTTGACGAGCATTCTGGTAGGCAGGTGCGCCTGCAGGCGGGATCCCGGACGGCTGGCTAACAAGATGCGGAACTTGTTGGCCCATATGCTGCGACTGGCGAGGGGCATGGTTCGGAGGATACTGCGAGTGGGAGTATGCCTGCGGGCCTGATCGCGTGGGCAGAGGTTGGGGAGGAGCGGGCGGCGACGGATTGACCTTGATGTCTGCAATCATTTGTCCCTCTACCGTGTAGGAAGCGACACGGTGACCAGAGTTGGGGAAGAAGACTGCGGTCGTCAGCGTATGCCCATATTCATGAATTCTGGCTGCGGTGTACCATCTTGGAGAACGAGTGTAGCTGTCTGCTGGTCCACGGCGCTGACGACGCCCACGACGACAGCACCTGGGGGAGACTGCAGCGTGACGGCGACCGACAATCCGACGAAAGCGCTCGCCATGTTTGCGGTAGATCGGACGTGTTGGAGGTGGAGCGGTGATCCCGAGTCCGTTGTAACCCCAACCTAACTATTTCGCGGGTCGTGCTTTCGCGCTAACGCAGTGGTCAGCCACAGTCTAGCCAACGGTGCGTCTTCACATGCTCAGCATAAAAGGGACACCCGGTTACAAGTTGCGCCAAGGTAGCCTGCACATGGGGGAAAACAAACAAAAGCGAATAGGGGGTATAGACTACAAGAGCTTGAGATGCTGGATTTTTTGGAATGTGTAAGAGCGACCTAGACTTCTGATTTATCTACTCTCTGTCATAGTACACAAATAGGCACGCGCGCAGCTTTCCCTTGAATGACGTACAAACAAAAGGGAGACAGAAGGAAGAATAACTCATGTTCATTACGCGTATTCATCTAACTAAGCCCGCCTCATCACCTAAAAGCAAATCAAAAAGTCCAGGGTATCCATACAATCGTTCCATCTCATCGCGCTCCATCAACCACGAGGCGCAAGTCGCGTGCGCCTCGATTGAGATAACGCGACATTCCCAGCTCCGCATCAAACAAGCACCCACGAGGCCACACTGCCAAACATGCACGAGTATGCCCTCTTATTGTTCCAAGTAGCCAGGCTCAAACCCCGTGCATCCTTCTTATTAAATTCTGTTACGGCCACAATCGAAATCTTCTGGCCCGGCGCACCGAGGTCCATGCGCGGGAAGTCGAGCCACCAAGTGCGCCCGTCGGTGTTCAACGGCTTGTAGTCTGGCTTCCGGCCGTCTCTGCCGGCAATGCTTAGGAGCATAATGTAGGGCGGACCCTTTCCGTTGATCTGGGGATCCCAGTGCGGGCAGATGAATGACATTTGGAACCGGACTACTGCTGGTGCGTAGGGGTCGTTTACTTTGATTCTGGCTTGTGATGGTTCAAATGTTTGCTCGCCGAAGCCGTGGAGCTTCATGCCATTGCCGCAGAGGAAGAGGCGCCCGCCCTCGTCATGTCGCATGAACTCTTCGTATGACATGATGCGTCCGTCGGTGCGGAACTGGTGAGAGGCTTCTCCGGGGTAGTGCTTCAGTCCGAATTCGTTGTTGTCCATGATGAAATGATGCGGAGCGAAGGCTCGTACGTATCTAGTGCATGTTAGCCCTTGTCCGACGGGTGGTGAACTGCGAAAGAAGTATCATCTCGAAAAGCTTACCCTTCGCCCTTATTACGACACCCTAAGTGTCCAGCTCCCCAACAGGGATCAATGAGCTTCCATTCTCCGTTATCGATCTTGACAGCGTTCCAGGCATGTGTCGATTCATAAGGTGGTGTAGGTTGACCAGGCTCCAAAGGTGCGTGACCGTAGCCCTTACACGCACCGGAACATACCATAGCTTCCAACCCAGCTTTCAGAGCCAGAGCAGCGAACAGACCGGCATACCCTTCGCATACTGCCAGACCTGATGCAATTGTCTTTTCGGGTGTAGTAGGCATGACCGTGTTATTGAAGAACGAGTGAGTATCGTAGTCGACGTTGTGATGAAGCCAGGTGAAGATCGCTCGAGCCTTGTCTGTAGGTGAGGGAAACTGTGAGCATAGTTGATGAGCAAGCCAGCCCACGTCTGAGTTGGGAAGTTGGGTACGAGGGAACTGCGCAGCGTGATTGTCCGGGCCTGAGAAGTCCCGACACTTCAGGCAACTTGATGGAGCAGCACCTGGTTTCGGTTTGGAAGCCATGATGGCGCTGAGGTTCGGTCTGGACGAAATGGGAACAGGTGGTGGTGCACCAAGAGCCGGGGCTGAATCAGATGTAACTACTGGTGGGCGAGTTGAAGGCACAGGTGGAGGTGTAGCGGCCTTATTGTTGAAGCCCATGTCCAACGCTGACCGTCGCGGTGGCGGTGGTGCGATCACTCTGTTTGTTCGAGAGGTGTCGTTTGAGGATTGCCTTTGTGGCAGCGCTGGCACAGGCTGAGGTGATCGCTCGCGAACGATGG